AATGAAAAAGCAAGTTGGAGCCCAGTGTTGAGAACTTGGAGGCCAGTGCAGGAAGTGTTTCTAGTGGGCGACATAATGAGTTACAGGGAAGTCTGAGAAACATAGTGAGGTCTAACACTGACAAATCAACACACAATCGCATATGCACGCTCTCGTGCATACACTCACGCATACACGCATGCACACACATACATACACAAGCATATGCCCACGTACACAAACACAATAAACATTTTAGGTAAGTAATCAAAGAATGAAGTCATAGAATCAGCTGAGGCTTCTGGTCATGCTTTGACTTTGTGTTATTTCTTTTCTTTATTCCCATCCAGCAGAATTGCGAATTTCAGAGCATTTGATACATGAGTCATTGAAAATGTCGAGGTTCTGATTTTAGGCTTTTTTTTTTCCTTTCTTCTGTAGTTTAAACTACTCTTAGTTTACATGGTGGTTTAATACACTGATGTGGCAGTTGTTTTTGGAAACTATGCTTGTTGTATGTTTTGGGAAAAATAATCATGTTTCTCTTCAGAAATTCTGTTGGGTGGTTTGGTAATTTGACAAGATAACAGTAGCAGAGAAGGGCTTGGTGTAACTGAGTGGCTTATTTTAAATTTCATTGTTACTTACTGTGGTTTCTCATGTAAATACATATGAATAACTTGACCTTAAATATCCTAGAATACCTGCTCCTCTGAGGTGGCTTGCTAATTCTTATAACAGCACAAAGAGTTGGGGAATGAAAAGTCTACCCTGATAGCAGGGGAACCCGAGACACTCTTGCTAGAGCTGCCTCCTGAGGCCAGAGGCTTTGGCTACACTTTGGCTCACTTTGTGAGCCTCAGGTCTGCTAGTAGCAATTCCCCAGGCCCATCCCTATGCCTTCACCCAAGGAACTTTCTAGAACCACAATCAGCTTTGTCATCGTAAACACTTCAGTGATACCCTTGTCGGGAAGCATAGCAGTGCCTCACCAAACAATTTCTCAGAACTTCTGGGGGAAAAACAAATTAAAAATTGCCTTAAAGATAGTTGGCCCAGGCAAGCCCTGGTTCCTGGAAATGGACAGCCAGGACTAAGCAGAGTACAAGATTTGCAGGTCTCATGCTTATTAATTTAATGGAGTGTGCTAGCTAAAACTGGTCTTAGACGTGTAAGCATGTTCTTAGAGACATTTCCCTTTTGAGGATATCCAGTGATTGCTGTCATGACTAACAGTGGCCTTCAGGACAGGATTTAAATGCTCCAGTGTAATGAAAAGCTCCTGGTCACCCCCTTTCAGGACAATAACACATACCCTTCTCACCATCCTCCAGTGACAAGCTGCCTGTGACAAGGCTGGAAACTTCCAAGCCTTTTCCAGTTTCCCTCCCTCCCTCCGTCCCTCCGTCCCTCCGTCCCTCCCTCCGTCCCTCCCTCCGTCCCTCCGTCCCTCCCTCCCTCCGTCCCTCCCTCC